GAAAGACCACCTCTGCGGTACAAAATTCTACTCACCTGGTATCAACAATCAAGGGTATTTCCCTGTCCCCAGACGACCTGCTTGTCAGTTTTGATGTAGTTTCCTTATTCACCAAGGTTCCTGTACCTGACACCATTGCAATCATTGAAGACTTGGTTCATCAAGGACTAAACACTGAGGTACCCCCCCTGGTGAGACACTGTTTAACCAATACATACTTCACTTGGAATGGAACTTTCTACAAACAAACTGAGGGCACCCCAATGGGCTCCCCCCTTTCTCCAGTTATAGCTAACATTTTCATGGAGAAATTTGAGACTGACGCCATCCAGACTGCCACTCTGCGCCCAACCTTATGGAAGAGGTACGTGGATGACACTTTTGTCATCTGGCCACATGGCCGGCCTGCTCTAGACAAATTCTTCGACCACATCAATTCCATACACCCAGCCATCAGATTTACCATGGAAGTCGAAATAGATGGCAAGATACCTTTTTTGGATGTCCTAATTAAAAAGAGACCTGATGGTTCAATGAGCCACTCTGTCTACAGGAAAGCTACCCATACGGATGCTTATCTGAAACCGGATTCCCACCACCATCCATCACAGAAGAATTCTCTCATCAAGACTCTGTATCATAGAGCCCAATGCATATCCGACCAGGAACACATAAGCAGTGAACTCAAGCACGTACACCAAGCTCTTAGGGCTAATGGTTACTCCGACTATACAATCCGCAAAGCTATCACTCAAACCATGAAGAAGAACCCTCTTGAGGAGCCTTTCAAAACCATCACTTTACCCTACATTGCTGGGATCACAAAAAAGATCTCCAAAATCTTGAATAAACACAAGATCCAGGTCCGTTTCAACACATTACATAAAATCCGTGATCTGGTTCCGTCTGTAAAAGATGTGATTCCGGACATACAATACCCTGGTGTCTACAAACTAAGTTGCCTCTGTGGTAGTAGTTACATTGGAGAAACCAAACGCCATATCTCGGACCGCATTCGTGAACATAAAGCAGACCTTAAACACGGTAGGACCAACACCTCGGCCGTAGCAGATCATTGTCCTAATTCAGTAGGCTCACATGCCATTGACTTTTCCAAGACGGAGGTTCTTTGTAAGCCATCTGGCTTCCATGAGAGATTCGTTCATGAGGCTATCCACATATACAAACACAGAGACAATTTCAACCGAGAAGATGGATTCTATCTTAGCAATCATTGGAAAGATTTGATAAATCATTTCAGTTCTTGATTGATTGTTCACGCTTACAGTGCCTTTCAGACAGCTTACATAAAAACAAATTTCGTCTCCCCCCTCCTCTTTTCAAAAAATAGATGGACTAGTCCTGGCAAACTGCCATCGTTGCGCGTGACGCAAACGTTATTTTTATATATATAAATAAATATGCCGTTTTCAAAATAAATTTATGCAAACCGACACACCTGATGATGACCGTTTGAGTTATGGTCGAAACGTCGTGAGAATTTTTTATTGTTTTATATATATTTTGTTATTTTGTTGTTTCTCTTCAACGTGACTTTACCGAAAAAACTAAGAATATGAATTACTGCAGTCACGAAAGCTTTAAATCAAAATTTAATCGCCTCTACGGGGAGGGTTTTCACATAACTTTAAGATCTTTCAACAAACTCCGGGATAAGAAAGCTCAGCTGATCGAGTCTCTCACCTTCCTGAAGAGATGCCGCGACTCTGGGGTAATACCAATCGCATTTACACTCACCTCTGCTACTGTAACTTCTTCTAATGCGAAACGAATTCTTTTCAAAACTAGCTTAGCTCTTATCTCAGAAAAAATCAGACTTATACGCACAGAACTAGATCAGTTAGACAAGACACTCTACAAATCACACTTATCATTGACGGCAATAATGTCCACATCGGATTGGGAACATGTAGACAATATGACTGCCTCTTCAGCTGCTACGATGTCGACCAAATGTAAGGAAAACCTGATTTCCAAATTTAACCTCCTCTTAAACAAAAGACCGGACCCACACACCAAAAAGTTAGACGTTAATAAAGTCGTAATTAATCGCAGTAACAGTTCTATTTCCGATGGTCTGAAATCCGTTTTAGCTAAAGGTCTAAACTTTGCAGTCACACCTAAACACATACCAGTTAATGATATAATTGCCCAAGTAGACGTTGCTCTCAGGGGCCTGGGTCACATCGCTGCAGACGTAGCAAGATCTGAAATCGCTGCAACCCTCAAAAACGCTAAGATGCCAGCTAGCAACCTCAGCAAAGATGAGCGTTTTGAATTATATAAATTAAAAAAGAGGAATGATATTGTAGTTCTCTCAGCTGACAAAGGCAATGCTACTGTTATCATGGATAAAATAGAATACAACAACAAAATTAAAGAATTACTCGACGATGGTAGTTATACAAAAATAAAAGAGATCCCACCAACAGCCTCGTCACACAAACCAACAAAATAATTTCTGATTCAACCACATTAATTGATCAATCTAAACAGTTTTCGTTGAAACCTTCTGCTGCCAGGCCACCAAGATTATACGGCTTACCAAAAATACATAAAGTAGATACACCTCTTCGTCCCATAGTCTCTACTATCAGCTCCCCCACCTACAAACTAGCTCGTTTTTTGTCTGAAATCCTGCGTCCTTTCACTGGAAAGACCACCTCTGCGGTACAAAATTCTACTCACCTGGTATCAACAATCAAGGGTATTTCCCTGTCCCCAGACGACCTGCTTGTCAGTTTTGATGTAGTTTCCTTATTCACCAAGGTTCCTGTACCTGACACCATTGCAATCATTGAAGACTTGGTTCATCAAGGACTAAACACTGAGGTACCCCCCCTGGTGAGACACTGTTTAACCAATACATACTTCACTTGGAATGGAACTTTCTACAAACAAACTGAGGGCACCCCAATGGGCTCCCCCCTTTCTCCAGTTATAGCTAACATTTTCATGGAGAAATTTGAGACTGACGCCATCCAGACTGCCACTCTGCGCCCAACCTTATGGAAGAGGTACGTGGATGACACTTTTGTCATCTGGCCACATGGCCGGCCTGCTCTAGACAAATTCTTCGACCACATCAATTCCATACACCCAGCCATCAGATTTACCATGGAAGTCGAAATAGATGGCAAGATACCTTTTTTGGATGTCCTAATTAAAAAGAGACCTGATGGTTCAATGAGCCACTCTGTCTACAGGAAAGCTACCCATACGGATGCTTATCTGAAACCGGATTCCCACCACCATCCATCACAGAAGAATTCTCTCATCAAGACTCTGTATCATAGAGCCCAATGCATATCCGACCAGGAACACATAAGCAGTGAACTCAAGCACGTACACCAAGCTCTTAGGGCTAATGGTTACTCCGACTATACAATCCGCAAAGCTATCACTCAAACCATGAAGAAGAACCCTCTTGAGGAGCCTTTCAAAACCATCACTTTACCCTACATTGCTGGGATCACAAAAAAGATCTCCAAAATCTTGAATAAACACAAGATCCAGGTCCGTTTCAACACATTACATAAAATCCGTGATCTGGTTCCGTCTGTAAAAGATGTGATTCCGGACATACAATACCCTGGTGTCTACAAACTAAGTTGCCTCTGTGGTAGTAGTTACATTGGAGAAACCAAACGCCATATCTCGGACCGCATTCGTGAACATAAAGCAGACCTTAAACACGGTAGGACCAACACCTCGGCCGTAGCAGATCATTGTTCTAATTCAGTAGGCTCACATGCCATTGACTTTTCCAAGACGGAGGTTCTTTGTAAGCCATCTGGCTTCCATGAGAGATTCGTTCATGAGGCTATCCACATATACAAACACAGAGACAATTTCAACCGAGAAGATGGATTCTATCTTAGCAATCATTGGAAAGATTTGATAAATCATTTCAGTTCTTGATTGATTGTTCACGCTTACAGTGCCTTTCAGACAGCTTACATAAAAACAAATTTCGTCTCCCCCCTCCTCTTTTCAAAAAATAGATGGACTAGTCCTGGCAAACTGCCATCGTTGCGCGTGCCGCAAACGTTATTTTTATATATATAAATAAATATGCCGTTTTCAAAATAAATTTATGCAAACCGACACACCTGATGATGACCGTTTGAGTTATGGTCGAAACGTCGTGAGAATTTTTTATTGTTTTATATATATTTTGTTATTTTGTTGTTTCTCTTCAACGTGACTTTACCGAAAAAACTAAGAATATGCTCTATAGAGGAGTTGTTACACCCCTAGCTGCCACTGCTATTTATTGGCGTAAAATAAAATATAAATGTTTTGCTCCGGATGACCGCTGCAAAGTGTTATCTGTATTTTGATTTAGCGTGCTGATCTTTAAAGGTGCATTGAATTTTTTTTATACTCCGACCGATGCTTCTGTTGTTGTGGAGTAACTCATGCAGTTAGCTATGGCTCTAGGATTTGGTGTTACATGTTGTTTATGTAGTTTATTGTTAAAAAATTCGCGTGACGTCATTACTGTGACGAAAAAAAAGAGCTTTATAGCTCATCGGATTCCTCCAGAAGTGTGATTTCGTCCGCGGCGGTGACGTCACTCCGCACGTGCGTCGCGCGCGATGACGTCATTCTCACGCACGCGCGCTGCTGCTGGGTTATGTGCGTGGTTTGGCGTCACCGTCGTCTGTGTGGTTGACGTCACGCCCTTCTGCGTGGTGATGTCACCCCTCTGCGTGGTGACGTCACCCTCTCTGCGTGACGACATCACCCATACTGCGTAGTGACGTCACGCCCACTTTGCGTGGTGATGTCACACATCTATGTGGCGACGTCACTTCCCTCTGCGTGGTGTCGTCATTCCCCTCTGCGTAGCGGCATCACCCCTAATGCGTAATGACGCAAATCATCACTGCGTGGTGACGTCACCTCCCCTGCGTGGCGACGTCGCCTCTACGTGCTAACGTCAAAACCCTCTCTGCGTGACGACGTCACCATCCTCTACGTTGTGACGCCACTCCCCCCTCTGCGTGGCGACGTCACCCTCCGGTGTGCGTCATGACGTCACTTCCTACTACCTGGTGACGTCATTCCTGTGCAGCGACACGTCATCGCAGGAGCCTGTTCAATCATCACAATGTAAGGCAGGGCCTAGCGTTCTGCTCACGAGTCGACTAACGAGTTAGCTAGCGAGTTAACTAGCGAGTTAGCTAACCAGTGGACTAGCGAGTTAGCTAGCGAGTTGACTGACGAGTTGCCTAACCAGTGTACTAGCGAGTTAACTAACCAGTGGACTAGCGAGTTAACTAACCAGTGGACTAGCGAGTTGACTAGCGAGTTGACTTACCAGTGGACTAACGAGTTGACTAACCAGTGGACTAACCAGTGACCGTCACTAACTGGGCCTGTGTCTGTGTGTGTCTCTGTGTGTGTCTGTGTGTCTGTGTGTGTATCTGTGTGTCTGTGTGTGTGTCGCAGGACCAGCAAAGTGTCATTCAAGATCACCCTCACATCAGATCCCAAGCTCCCCTTCAAAGTGTAACACTCTCACCACCACCATCACTCTCACCACCCCCCCCCATCGCTCTCGCCTCGCCCCTTTCGCGAATATCGTCGGTGGTGGTGGTGATGGTGGTGGTGATGGTGGTGATGCTGATGGTGATGGTGGTGGTGATGGTGGTGATGCTGATGGTGGTGGTGGTGATGGTGGTGGTGGTGATGGTGGTGGTGATGGTGGTGATGCTGATGGTGGTGGTGATGGTGGTGGTGGTGATGGTGGTGGTGATGGTGGTGATGCTGATGGTGGTGGTGATGGTGGTGGTGGTGGTGATGGTGGTGGTGATCGTGGTGATGCTGATGGTGATGGTGGTGATGGTGGTGGTGATGGTGGTGGTGATGGTGGTGATGCTGATGGTGGTGGTGGTGATGGTGGTGGTGATGGTGGTGATGCTGATGGTGGTGATGGTGGTGGTGATGGTGGTGGTGATGGTGGTGGTGATGGTGGTGGTGATGGTGGTGGTGATGGTGGTGGTGGTGGTGGTGATGGTGGTGATGCTGATGGTGGTGGTGGTGATGGTGGTGGTGATGGTGGTGGTGATGGTGGTGGTGATGGTGGTGATGGTGGTGGTGATGGTGGTGGTGATGGTGGTGGTGGTGATGGCGGTGGTGATGGTGGTGATGCTGATGGTGATGGTGGTGGTGATGGTGGTGGTGATGGTGGTGGTGATGGTGGTGGTGATGGTAGTGGTGATGGTGGTGGTGGTGATGGTGGTGGTGATGGTGGTGGTGATGGTGGTGATGGTGGTGGTGGTGATGGTGGTGATGGTGGTGGTGATGGTGGTGGTGGTGGTGATGGTGGTGATGGTGGTGGTGGTGATGGTGGTGGTGATGATGTTGATGATGCTGCTGGTGATGTTGATGATGATGATGCTGCTGGTGATGATGATGCTGATGATGATGTTGTTGTTTCTCCAGACTGAGTGTACCTGAACCCACTCCGTTCACTGCCGTTCTCAAGTTTGCAGCCGAGGAGGTGAGAGAGACACAGAGAGAGACACAGAGAGAGACACAGAGAGAGACACAGAGAGAGACAGAGAGAGACACAGAGACAGATACACAGAGACAGATACACAGAGACAGATACACAGAGACAGATACACAGAGACAGATACACAGAGACAGATACACAGAGACAGATACACAGAGACAGATACACAGAGACAGAGAGACAGAGACACAGAGACAGAGACACAGAGAGAGACACAGAGAGAGACACACAGAGAGACACACAGACACAGAGAAAGAGACAAAGAGAGACACACAGAGAAAGAGATAGAGAGAGACACAGAGAGAGACACAGAGAGAGACACAGAGAGAGAGACAGAGAGAGACACACAGAGAGACAGAGAGAGACACACACACAGAGAGACACAGAGAGAGACTCACAGAGAGAGAGACAGAGAGAGAGAGACACAGAGAGACACACAGCGAGAGAGACACACAGATAGACACATACAGAGAGAGACACACAGAGAGAGAGACACACACAGAGAGACACACACAGAGAGACACAGAGAGACACAGACACAGAGAGAGACCAAGAGAGAGACACAGAGAGAGACACACACACACAGAGACACACACAGAGAGAGACACATACAGAGAGACACACACAGAGAGACACACAGAGAGAGAGACACACATAAAGAGACACACACAGAGAGAGACACAGAGAGACACACAGAGAGACACAGAGATAGACACACAGAGAGAGACACAAAGAGAGAGAGACACAGAGAGAGACACACAGAGAGAGACATAGAGAGAGAGACACACAGAGAGAGACACAGAGAGAGAGAGACAGAGAGAGACACACAGAGAGAGACATATATAGAGAGAGAGAGACACAGAGAGACACAGAGAGAGACACACAGAGAGAGACATAGAGAGAGAGAGACACACAGAAAGAGAGACACAGAGAAAGAGAGACACAGAGAGACA